ATTGAGTTGAATAGAGCATGAGTGTAACCTGTGGCGCGAATAAAAAAATGAAATATACAAACGCGAGAGAAAGAATGAAAGGAATCGCGCGGCTGACAAAAAATATTATTATAAAAAAACTCGGGCACAATGAAAAAAGGAAAGGGGATGCTCATTTTTTGAAGAGAGGTGGGCGGGCGTCGCATTCAGAGCTGTGCACTTTTCCTTTATTTATTGTGCGGTTTAGAATGTGGAAAGATATCATTTGAGAAGGCCTTTTTATTTGGCATGAGATATAATTTTTTTTCAGCCATTCAAACCTAAATAAAATTTTATTGTAGAAGTGAGTAAAAATCGTTTTATAATCTTTCTGTATCATTTCATTAACTCCACTAAAATTATGCTAATTCTTATCTTTATTTTAAAAATACGCTTGCATTATTTATGGATAACGCTGAGTTTAGTAAGGTAATTGAATATAATAATTACTGATTATCCCTCTCCCTCTGAAATTAAACAGCCGGGGGATGAATGAAAAGCAGATTTCGCCACCGATATCGGTTACGGCTTGGCTGAATAATGAAGTGGCAATATTTTTCGCGTTGGCAGAAAGTAAATTCATGTGGCGCATCTAACAGCTGTTGGCCAATTGTTTCCCGGGGCACAAAGGACGGGGGTGCGTAAGAACGAGCCGCTCGGCTGGCTGCGGCTATTCAACGTGCTCGACCCTCGATCGGCCGCACTAGTGTACCCATAATCGGCTACAATAATATCCCATTCATTGTAGCATTATTAAAGTGTTATTGTGCTCTGGGTGCTCGCAGCTGCAACTCCTAGTTCTCTGTGGACCGTTCGTTCAAGCTGACAAGCCTAAAAAGAATAGAAAAATGTGTCCTTTAGAGTGAGAATTATTGGTTATTGAAATTGTCAAGTTATCTATTTTTAATTCGATACCCCCTGTCAAAATTTGTACTAATTTAAAAAAAAAGTAAAAAATATTGAAGAGTTTTGCGGAGTATTGAATTGTTTATATTAAGAGATTTGTCTACTAACTTTCTGCGGGCGATCGGCCTTTAAATTTGATGGGCGACGGCCAAGAAAGCGGCGATACACTCGCAACTTTACAACTACCAATATTTCGCCGGCCAAATACGTGCTGTTTACTACTGCAATTTTATAAATCTCGCTATAGTGGCCGGTGTCGGTCGTTTATTGATGGGCCCATCCACGGAAAAGCGATTGCGAAGAAAGAAAACTAGAAGGAACGTTTGTGCGATGGCCTTAGATATAATTTTTATTCGACCAACTTTTAGAGCCTGCCAGTTACGTGTGTGCGACGAGGAACCCTAGCCAAGGAAGGGTAATTGGCAATGCGACACCCGGGGCGCTGCATTAAAACTGACCCTTATTTATGAGGTGAACTCCCTTAATTTATATATTCGGGCGGGCTGAATCGTGTCGATAAATAATTCCTGCGCACTCTGACGCAAAATGAAAAATGGCCCAATTTCGGGTGCCGCAATTAATTTCCAACTTTTCTATTTTCAGCGCGCGGCGAAATCGAGTTTTGCGCGTCAGAAAAATATAAAATATTGCTTGTTGAGAGGGCACGTCATTCAAAGTGGCTCTCGGAAAAACAGGATCAATATCCAATCGCACATCTCTCGTTGCTTTTTCTCTTTCAATCAAAAAAGCCCTTCTTTTGACATAGCAAGATTGCGCATTTGCAGAAAAGCTTCGTGAGAAACGGACGCCCGCTGCTGGATTTTGCAGTATTTTTATTTTATTTTTTAATTAACTCGCTCGTTTGTTCGAATGCAAATGAGAGAGATTTCCTTCTCTTATCCTGCGCCAGTTTATTCGCAAATAAAATAAAAATCCCTCAGGTATAGAGTTAGTTGATGAGGAAATTATTTTCAGTCATTAATTCCTAAGTAAGCTGAAGCGTGCTGCGGAAAATCCATCGCGACGCTATCTGATGTGTGCATTAAAAGCAAAAACCGCGCGGCTTATGAAAAAAAGTAAATTCCGCTGAAAAGTTTTAATCCGACGGCTGCCGCGCGCCAATCGATGATACACACCAAAGAGGGAGTTCGAAAAGCAGAGGAAATTTACGAACACCCTTCAGCGAATTTAATAACAAACACGCATTCTTCTCGGGGGGCGCCAAAGTCGGCGTGTTTGCAAAAAGGATTGTTTAGTGCCAGCCAGCCCGGCTAGCTTGTTTGCACTTGCAGGCTCGTTTTGAATGCCATTTTGTCACTTTGAAATATGACCACAATATAAGCACCGCCGAGAGAGACCTACCAATTCAACGTGCCCTCCATTATTTTTGCACCCGCGCGAACAATAACGAGCGCCGCTTTTTATTTAAAAAATAAATAAAATGCTCTCACACTTTTTAAAATTGCCACCGGTGGAATTGATGCGCTCCGTCGGTGCTGCCGCACCAACCAACACACACTTTTGTCGGCGGCGTCCGCAGTGGAGCCGGATAATTTACAAAGTGTCAATCTCGGCGGGCATTAATCTTGCGCGCGGAAAATCGGCATTCGCAAAACCGAGAGAGGCGCTTTTTATCTGCGGCAAGACCCGCCGAAGACGTCGTTTTGATTGAAAGTAGGATTGGAAAGGAACTTTGCACCCTTCCGACTCTGAACAATTTTGCTCTCTTATCAAAATGGGATGCCAAAATTGGCATATAAATACAAAGTGTTGCCCATCAATAAAGCATAAAAAATAAAATTTAAATTTTCCTATAGATTTTTGTTTTAAATTTTGCACGCTGTCTTCAAGTCAGTACTTGACTCAATTTTGAATCTTGATTGGATTTTCAAAGTATTCAGAGCTACCAACTTGTCTTCTGATTTGTTGGCGCCACAAAGCATCAAACCCTTGTCTAAATGCGGCCGCGGGCCAAATTTCAAGAGCCTCCCAACAAAACTCCTCGTGGAAACAATTCTCGGTTTCTCAGCAGCAGCAAATAGATTCGCTACTTAGCAACTAGTTAACTTGGAGGCAGAGAGAGACTCTCAAGACGCATTATATAATTTCTCTGTGCAATTCCCTCGCTTTGATCGTCAGCGCGTGAAGACGCGAGTGAGCGCAAATCGAGTTGCGAGCGCGTGATTTAAGTGAAAAAGCAGCGGCACTCGCGTGACAAAGAGAGTGAATAAACCGGTGTTGACATTTATTCAGCTCATTTCTCAGTCAGAGGACGAAAATCCTCCGACTCTGCGCTTCATTGAAACGCTTCCACAGTAGAACTCTCGACGATTTTTTGTCCGCCTTTGAAAAGGTGCAAAAATATTCCTCTTTGATGTGACAAAATTTATGGCCTCTCCCCCACCCGCCCTTTCCTGCTCCATGAGCGAGGCGAAAAAAATAGAGAATGCCATTCTTCGTGGAAAGAAAGAATTGTTGAGGCGTACATTCCTCCCCAGATAAATTTTCCCCGGCGAAAAAGTATTCTTCTTGTGTCGAATTTAATGGCCGCAAACTGCAGGGGTCGCTCGCTCGCCTGTTCACGAATTTGTTCTTGAGGTTTCAAATATTTACCGGTCAAATTGGCTACGCCTCGCTTCACATTTACTTTCCTCGCTAGTTTCCTCAGAACTTTGTGTCTGTGTATTTATTTGCCTAGAAATTTTTGCCTCATTTCTTGTTTGTCTTGGCACCAAGATCAACAGTCTTAACTAATTCAAATTGTAGCCAATCAGTATTATTCGCCTCCGCAGCTTTCTCGTTTTTCCACCGCGGTCGCGCTTGTTTCTTTCTTCCACCCCGCTAACTAGAGCCAGAGTGCCTTTCTTTCTTTATGTGCGTCTCGGTAAATAAATACATAATGGATTTTGTGAGCGCAGTTTTAAGCAACGGTATGTTAAGTGCTCTCTCCCTTCCATTCCGTAATTGCCTTAACTAGGCTCAACAGCCTGCGCGGCATTCCGCCTCTTATGGAGATTTATAATTGTCGTCTCAAAATAAACCTCTTGAAAAATCATCCCGAGTGCTGCTAGAAAATAAAAACTCCCCGACTGCAAGGCTGCTGATAAACTCAAATGCGTGCAGTGTAAAAGCCCTGAAATATTTTTATCCCCTAGCACGTTTAGGGTAAAGATAAATAGCACGCCAGTTGTTGTCCTTCAGATGATTTTTTCCCATTTTAAGGTTGTTTTCGTAATTAGGGATTTGTTTTGGCGGGAGTGACACTGCGGAAAACAAATGGGCCTCGTTTTTCGCATCCACGGCGCCTTCATTTAATTAATGAAGCTCGTTAGAATTGAATTTATTGCGCTAAGTGTTGTTATTGGAGCTTAATTAGGGCTATGCAAAATTATATAGAGCTTGTATAAATTCCAACGGCCACGCAAGCCAAGAGAAAAGCTTTTATGCGCCAGGCAAGCAGCTCGGAATAGAATTTCAAAGTGTGCAAAAGTGGGCGGCCTGCTGGCTATGAAACAAAATCAAAAAAGATTCTTTTTCCGCCAAACTTTGAAAGCCTTTTCATTGAGCTTTCATTTCATTTGCACAGGAGCCGCAGTTTGCTTTTCCGTGGTAATGTATTTGCATGCTTAATTGGATTTAAATATACAGAGTGCAGTTTTTATTCTAAAGGTCAACTCGGTGCAGCTCTGTTTTGCTGCGCCAAAGTCAGTCTTAATCTACCCTTTTTTGCATGAGCACGTTTAATTTAATTGAAATCAAGTGCAGCGGCGAGTAGGTCAGTCCGTCCGCGCCTGTTAGTTAGTCGGTGACGTGAAAAAAAGAGTGCGAGTGAGTTGTGGAGATGAGGGCTGCTCTTTGTTGCGGCGCGCACAAGGATTTCGCTCTGTCTCTCTTTTTCGTCGGGAGATCATTTAACAGCGATAATATGCATAAAAGAAGATATCACTCGCTCGTTGTTTATTTTTGGACAAAGCCGTCCTTTGCTCTCTTCAAATTATTTTTTCTTCCTTGTCTCTTTCCAAAATGAACAACAGAGGACACCATAATTTTTTAATTTTCAATTTCTATTGTTCCAGGTGAGAAAACCAACTTTTTGGATGAACAATCTGACGGGGAAAATACCGGTAGGATTGAAATTTCCTTCTATAACTTTGAAATGTGGTTGTAAAAGGAAGCAGTCGAGAGGAAAATTTACATTCGTCTTGGTGCCGTGCGGGCGCACAAGAATAATCAGCCGCTCTTACTACTAATAAAATTATTTATTGTTGGCAATGGCAGACGGTCAAGAACCCTTTCTCTGCTCACTGCAACTTTTGAAACCGCAAAGGCGGAGGCGTTCCGACTGCTGCAAATCCACAAGTAAACGAAAGCAAAAGAACACACAGACGTAATCGCTTGCTGGCCGCCTTCCCTCTCCTCCCTCTCCTCGTCCTGCTCAATTAGAATACATGCTCACAGTTGAAAAGACAGACCGATGTGCTCTGGTAAGTGCATTTGGCAAAGGAAGAGCCGAGAATAGCCGAAGCATGAGCGAGCGGTCTTTCATTATATTATACTCTTCCTGCAGCCCGCATGGTTTCGCAAGCGGCGGTCCCAGGGTATTGACCTGAGGCCTTGAATCGTACCTTAGTGAGAAAACGAAAGAGAGGAGAGAGGAAAATCAAACTGGTTGCTTGCCTCTTTCTTGCCTGCACGACTTTGAGTATAAAATCTGATGCACTTTCAGACTGGTTTACTTTTTGCATTCAATTGAAACACAACTGAGGATGTAATAATTATACATTTGAAGCTAATTGCTAGCAGTATTGTTAAAAAAAGTTGATCAGAAAATCGTGGAAAATTTGTATATTTTCCCAAAGTTACTCAGATAGAAAATATTTTCCATCCTATTTTTGACAGAAATTTGTATGTTCTTGTTTTTCTGTTCATTATATATCCCATTTTCTCTAACCAAATGTAATCTATGCATTTTGATCTTGAGCACTGAGAAGGCTCAAAATTGCAGGGTTTAATCGGTTTTCCTTCCTGCCTCGTCGTCCTCTCCGTGCGAATATCAACTGTCTCAAACTCCTTTATTTGCCAAAATTCAAGAGGCCTCTCTCTCTCGGAGCGCAGATTATTAGAAGGCGGCGAGTTCGGCGGCGTCGCTCCTTTAATTATTAGTCCGGTCTAATGTGCTGCTTAATCGCACCCCGCTTTGCGTCGCCGCGCCCGATTAACCCTCTCCTAAAGTTAAAGGAAATTCGCTCTTGCGCCGTTCTATTATTAAGAAAAAACAAAGCTCGCAAAATAATAATTTTTTTTATAATAAATTCACTTACAGGAGAAATTGCGTCGGAAATTGAAAATTGATGAAAAAGCGGCTTGAAATTTGAGAGCAAAACGTGACATGGTTTCGGATGGGGTTACTGCACGTCTTGCAAGTCTTGAGCGGCGTCACTCTCTTTCCTGAAGCGCCGGGAGAGTGAAAGGGTTCCTCGTCAGATTAATGAGGGCGCCGGGCGGCAAACTGAGTTCATTATTTTGACGTTTTCCAGATTTAATTTGACGCTCACACTAATCTTGAGAGTCAAAGGATTGTCACTGCTGACTAAGTAAGCTCTGAATTATCACCTCCGCCTCTAATACTGCGACTAGGGGGAAAATTTATTGCTCTTGTAATTTGTTCAACTGCCTTCATTTCCACTCTCTCGGAGGGAAAATGATTTTTCTGCAGGAAAGCTTGTAACAATTTCCATCTAAATGCAAACACGGCGGAAACAATCCACAGCATTTGATATTTAATCCCACGACACATGTTTTCAAGAGAGCAATTTAGCAACATTCATCTCGTAGTGCCTTTCAAAATAAATTGCACGCCTTAAATTTATTTCGGTGTAATTTCAAAGTGCAAATGGATTTCCTAAAATCCACCCCTTGTTGCGAAGCGCGTGCAACAAAGGGGTGTGGGGATGCTGCCACCGGTCCATCCGCCCATAAATCAGGGGTTAATCACAAAATTGCTAATTCATATTCAGAGCGACGGGCAATTATTGTCGTTGAACGACGCAGAAATTGGAGCCACACGCACAAAAGCAGACGCTGCTGCTGACTTTCCATTTCATATTCGGTGAGTCAGATTGCAAACAATAACTAGTTATGCGCGCCCGCCACCCCCTACCAGCAGCAGCCTCCCCTGCGGTTAGTTAAAAGGCAATTGCATAGGGTGGTTCAACCCCTCTAGCATCTTCGGTCCAAAGAGAAGAGAGCGCACGCGAGCAGGAAGTATTTGAAAATTTAGCGCCCCTCGCTAATCTGCATGTCAATGCATTCCATCAAGTCGTTTGTTTGTCTTTCTCAGGCCGGCTACGTGATGTTGCTGGTCGGGCAGTGCGCGAAAACGCGGTCGTGCGCTTACGAGAGCCGCCGCAGGAAAAACAAACATTTGCACGCACGCCTCTGTGCCTTAGTGTTTGCCGTCGGAAAAGAGGAATTCGCAGAAGTGTGTAGGCCGCGCTGAAAGTGGACAACAATCGGTTTTGTTACAGCTTAACCGTCACAAATGCAGAAATCCTGGTGAAAGCCTTGAAAGATCAAAAGGATTTTCGATATAAATACAAAGCTTAATGCGAGATTTTTTTAAGTTGCAAAAATGCATAAAAAATAAAGGAATTATTTTCCGTCAATATATTTTTTATTTTTTTGTTTTAAATTTCTTGCTTGATTTTTAATTTAAAGTGCGTTAGAAATATTAAATTAACTAGAAATACATTTAATGAGGTCTTGATAGATTGAATTATTCTTTTATGCTTTTATTTTTAAAGCAAAACTTCAAGCTAGTTAATTTTTTTTTTTTTATAAAACCCCACTAAAGAAAAAGTTAATAAAAACTAATAAAAATATTATTATAAAAAACTCATAGTGAACAAAGACACTTGAACACTCAATTCTCAATACGGTTTTTACACGGCCCTACTTCCCTCGTGTTAGCCGGAGGGTTGTTTCGCCCCCTTTTAATAGCTTGCAGATTCCTCAAGCGCGATTTCTTTGCTTTTTGAAAATTATACGCACACAAAGAGTACAAATAAAAGCGGTTTCGCATCAAGGGTCGCTCTTGCATTGCTGCTGGAGGTGCATTCGTTTTTTTCTCCCGCAAGTCGGATTATGTTATGTATTCTAAACGGGAGGGATGCACTCAGTCGTTTGCTCCAAGAAGGGTGCGCGACGACGACGACGGGTAGGAGGAAACGCTCATGTAATCTAATTACGCTGCGAAAACCGGCAGGCCCGTCCGTGTTGTTATTTATGAATAGCATTATTATCGCGGCGGTCTTTTATCTCAACGACCCCTTTCAAATTTCATTCATTCAGACCGACACACAAGCGCTTTAATATTTACGAGAATTCCGAGGAAAGTCTACGGCTTTTTAATTTTTCATCTGCTTCCCTTTTCATCAGAGAAATTGCTTTCGTTCTCGCGCGGGCTCTTGAATTCTTTCTCTTCCCAGACAAAAAAAAGAAAAGATTCGCGCGCAGTTGGATTTTATTTTATGACAATAAAGATCCGGCTGCAATAAAAGCAGTCAAGGCAGCCAAGCGATTAGTGTTGGAGGGCGTGGCCGCAGAGTCGCAAAATGCAATCAGCGGGCAATTTGCATAGGGGAGCAATAAAAGCCGCCGGTGTGCTGTTGCAGTCAGAAAATTGTGATCCTGTTTGCGTCTATATCATACAAGCCGTCATCTGCTCTTCCAGCACGCATTGTTTTAATCCTCGCGCGCGCCGCGTGTTCCAAATTTATAATCTCGTCATCATCGAGCCGGGGTGCGAATCATAATGCTCGCTCGGGAGGTGCGGAAATTTGCAGAGGCGTTGAAGCGAAAGGGGATTGACGCACTTTGCGATATTGGAGACCAACTTTGTGAGTGGCTTTACCGCAGAGCTGAAGTTGGAGATTTATTAAAATACAAGTTAATAAGCATTCACAAAGTTATTGCTTACATTGGACTCAAACTTAAAAAATATCATTATATTTTCTATAACAAATGCCAAAAAATAAAAGTTAAAGGGTTTTGTTAGAACTTGTACTCAAATGAGTTTGAAAAAAAGCATATTATACGTAAAGGCCGAGTCTTGCAAAGAGTGGGTATTAAATATGTGACTTTTCAGTCATCCAATTTTAATGCCAAAACAACTTTTGATAATTTTTATTTTATGTACAAAAGTCAATTTAGAGTTATAGAGCGAATTCCCCAGAGCATTTTACACTTTAATGATAAAAATACATCCCAGGGCTTTTCTTTTCGCAAAAAGCGCCGTTTTAAAATGCAAAGAAGACCGAAGCTAGCTCGCCGAAAATTTTTCGAGAAAGCCCCAGGGTGTCTGCCGCATGCTCATGCTGCTCTTGCTGTGGCACATGTAAAATATAGATTTTGCCGAGGCCCAATGTTTTTGTAATAAAGCCGATTTTTAATTAACGGTGGCGCGGCATGGCTCTCCCGGCAGCACTCGCTCGCTCGCCGGCTCACGCACTCGCTTCTTGTTAAATATTCAATTAAGATCATGCCTCGGCGTATTAAAAAAAGCTTCACGCGCCGCAGAGGAAGGATTATTTTCTGGCGGACAGAGTGAAATTATGATTAAAAATATGCGCTCTTGCAGGGACAAGGCGTGCGTCGTTAGAATGGAAGAAAAGAAAGGAGGAAAATCACTCCGGCAGACGCTCTCGTATCTCATCCACTCCAATTGAAGCTCGTTAAGACTGATTTGTTCCTCCTATTTATTATTTTGGGCGGCTTGGAGGAGCAACGCCAGCAGCGTGCGCGAGAGAGATGCGAACCAAATAAGAGTCTCATCAGCGTAGCTCCGCGCCACGGGGAACTGTTTTGAAAGTGAAATGATCTTTTTGCGTGCGAATCTCAATGGAGTCTCTCTGCTGCCTGAAATTGTAAAACAAGCCAGGTGCTTATATTATCAGCAAAGGTGAATAAAAAAAGGAATAAATTTTAAAATTTTTTATCAAAAAATAATTCTATAAATAAACATTTAAAAAAAATCAAAATATATTTTTTTATGATTTCTCTTTACTCTTGAATTTTTCGTTATTTTTTAATTCAACCCTATAAAAACATGGCCATCGCAGCAGTA